GGAAAAATTTAAATATGATTTTCTCTTTTGTTGAAGAGAATTTCACATGGAAATTCAGAGAAAATCTTCACATGTATTTCCTAACCTTGCACATGCATGATATCTCTCACTACTATGATCCTAAACCTTAATGGTTGTGAACTTGTTTCACAAGAAAAAAGCCTACAGGGTTTGATGTCATCCAGATCACTCCCAGAATTACACACATTCTATGAGTTTTGACAAATGTATAACCACATATTTCCCTATTGTCTTTTTAAGTATTTTGTTATTTTTATTTTATGTGTATGAGTGTATTACCTGCAGGTACGTAATTGCACCCATCATGCAATGCCCACAGAGGTCAAAAGAAAGCATCAGAATCCCAGGAACTGGAGTTATAGATGGTTGTTAGCCACCATGTGGGTGCTGGGATTTGAACCTAGGTCCTCTGCAAGAGCTCTTAACTGCTGAGCCATCTCTCCAGCCCCATGTTTTCCTATTGTAACATCATACAGAATAATTTTAACATCCAAAAATGTTCTATATTTTTTCTATTCATTTCTCATGCCCACATTTTGATGTAAGGGAAAAACAATGAAAAACTAATTGAAAGACATAAATCTCAAAAATGAAAGCTACAGCTCTGAGAAAACGGTAAATCACTCTGACACAGTTTTAATATCTCTAACAATGTTTTTGTATATACCTTAAAACAAAGATCAAGTAAAGTATCAGGAGATAAGAATATTAAAAGTTAGAGAGGAAAAGCCTCTCTGAGACGAAAACATTAGTAGAAGAAATCATACCACAACACAACTATTTGAAAATCACTTTGGGAAACAAAGAAAGCAAACTGCAAAGTACAAAATTGAAAGAAAGTCACTCAATGTGATAGATATGGAAGATGAACAAATAAGATCCACTATGACCACAAGCAGATCTAGAAGAAAGCAGGAAATAGTACAAGAATTCTACCACCTCTGTAGCAGGGAACCAAACTAAAGGACAGGAAATAGGAAAGAATCTGACCAAATGAATTCAGTTTCATTAACGAAAGTTGCATTCACATTCTGAAAAACTATGACAATTCACTAGCAATGCTCAAAGGAATGAATGCAAAGCAGTCAATTTTAAATGATGGACTTTTGCTAAGAGGTGATAACTTCTGCATTTAAAGTCTTAGATCAGTAGGGTATATGTCAAGAAAAGACTGGTGCAGACATAATGACTACAGGTAGAGTTTGATAAAAAAATTTGAAAGTAAAGGCTCAAGCAAACATTCATCTGAGAAAACCAAATCATGTGCATATAGCTAAGATTTCTGGGTAACAACTTTCAAATGTGAAGTCTCCAGCAGTGTTTAAAAATATTTATGACTTTATGAAAGGAAAAATAGGTTTGAGTCTAAAAAGATTATTTTTCCTGCCTGTGAAAAATAAAAGAAGTGTCCAGGCACATAACAAATCCAGCATCTGTGACTGTCTCTTTCATATTACAAATTGTGGACTCCAACCACCCAATGGTGATTTGGTGTGTAAATTTTGGTTGGTAAAGAATTTTTTCTTTCAAACTTGAAGCAAATATAAGATGAGAGTATGGCAATTAAGTTACAATGTAAATATTCAGTTCAGAAATACAAATCTTAGCACTGGGAAGGTAGAGGCAGGAAAATAATAAATTCAAGGTCATTCTCAATTATGGAGCTAGTTGGAGGGCCAGTCTGGGGTAGAAGAGTCTGTCTCTCTCTCTCTCTCCCATTATTACTATTATAGCTGCTATAGAGCTACTGGGATATTAGTAGTCTTAAAAGAATAATCGTGGTCTTTGTAATCTTTAGACCCAATATATATAACTGCTCTTTGAATTTTATCTCATCTATAGTCAATTCATGATCAGATGATCCAATCTGTGTCCCTTGATCATCTTCCTAGGCCTGAGAATAAGCATGAGTAGAGACACTAAATCCTTTTCCACCCTATTTTATCTGTGTAATCGTTATAGTGGCTTTACACCTTCTAAATGATATGAGATCCTCAGCTGTTGTGGAGTTGAATATTGGCCCATTTAATGGATAGTAGGGACCCCCTTCCCCCAGTAACTAACAGTTAATACAACCAACTACTGGAACTTCAGGACTCCACAGCTCAGAAGAATGGGAGTTGAATCTTCTCACTCTCTGGCTCTGGGAGGAGATAAAGCATTTGAACTTCCCAGAAAGTCATTAAGTCTGAAGCCTTAGAAGATTACTATGTAGTAGGTAGCTTTATATACCATTGCCCCCTCCCATAAGAGTTACTTTTAATAAATCCATTAAACACCTGGACAAGAACAGACACCTCAAGAAAGCAGCCTGTT